AAACTAGAAAGACTAATAGCAGTAGATCCTAATTAAATTATCATTTTTGATATGAATTACTCTCCCAAACAAAACTTAAACTGAAAAATAATTTAACACTTTAATTTTTGCAATTAGGTTATCAATTTCAAATTTGTATGATTCACTATTGGCTCGAATTTGTACAGAATTTGTACTGGAATTTTTAGTTTGTAGCCACGCGATTTAGTGAGAGATTAAAGAGCATGCATCGGGTTTATAGTACCGCTAACAGTGTACAGAAGATGTTTCCCATGTTCCTATACAGAAAGTTGATTCCTATTCGTCGTCAATAATGTTGGCGAAAGATACACTCAACACATGATGGAAGATGAAAATTAAATGTAAGAATATTCCCATCTTCCTTGTATATATATACGTGCATAAATATATCCACATGCATTTAACATTCGAGGTATCTTAATGTTAGAGATGGCAAAGGTCCTCCTATGACGGATTTTCAGTCGGTGTGAAATCAGGCCTTTAGAATTTAATCTGACGCCAACTACTTTGCACAAACCGTTCAACGGATAGACTTCATTCCTTGTTAATGTTTCCCCTTTTCAACGGGTATTCATCACTCGATGAACCATGACCAATTTTCATCATCCTTTGAAAACACTTACAACTACTTTATGCTACTGATTTATAAAATATTTCAACTATTTTTAATAAATTAGATTAATTTTTAGGTTTTAAACTACTTCCGCCATCGGCAATGGTTCGCTAGATTCTTTTTTTTCCTTTTTCCATTATTTACCTGCAAACTTAAGAAATTTTTAAAGAGACAGTAATTATTTATAATGTTAACTGTAGATCTCATGTTATTCTTCTCTTTAGATATAATTTCTATGAAAAATGACATACAACTAAAGTTATTTGTAGAGGCGTATATTCTGTTCGTGCACAAAGATATTTTATACCTATGTATGTATATAACTGCTTGATACACTTATCATCAGTGACTCTTCTAAAGGAGGGAAGATTGTCATCGAAGAAACGGAAGGCAGGTCTATGGGAAAGCAGGAGATTTCTTGCCAGCGATAACCCGCAGACCCGCTTTCATCTTACCACACATAAAGAGAAAAATAACTCCGTCAAGTCGAATCGACAACGACAACGACAACGATATTAACCCTTCGTTAAATTTACTCATGATTCACTAACAAATCAGATTATCGTGTCAAAGTAAATGTCAACTTGTTACATACGCGATCTTAGAATTTTTACCCTAGACTACTCCCTAAGTGGTACCAACTACCAAAATACCCATTTTGGTACCCTAGTCAAAATTAAAACTAGGTCATTTTTTGGAAAAATTCTAAAGTTAAATATTTTTTACGAAGCTTTAGCAAATTAATTTTTTAAAATATTTAACTTTAAAATTTAATTTCCAAAATTCAATGGGTGCCAGTTTCAGCTTCATATTAAAGTAGGTACACTTTATTGCGCTAGAATAATAATCGGTTCTTTATTGCCCAAGGACAATAATCGGCAATTTATTGACCGGTGACTATAATACGCCTGAAAAAAATAATTTTTTTTGCCTAAATACTAGAGTCGATTCAAGGCCTGAATTACTTATATTGAAATTAATTTGCTTTGCGTATAAAAGAAAGAGATTTAAACGAAAAACAAATAAAAATAATAGTCGACTTTGCCCATCTATAATCGAATGTATAATTTACTCAAGGTTGCCACGCTTTTACTCATTTCAAATTCCCTGACTTTTCCAGGTTTTCTAGGTTAAAAAACGAAATTTTTCCAGGTTTTTAAAACTACATTTATATTTTACAAAATTTTTAATTCAAACCTTTTTGAAATTAAACATAAAATTGTTATAAAACATGAAAATATCGATCACTCCGAGTCTTCGACTCGGAGCAATCGATATCTTCATGTTTTATAATAATTAAAAATGATCGACTGATAAAATCATTTTATATTATAAGAATATACTGCAACTTATGCAAAATTACTTTTATCATTTTAATTCAATTATTGTTTTCCACAATTTTGAACTAAAATTCTTCTTTATAAAGTGTAAATTAATTATTATTAATAATTTCTGAAAAATTTCTTTCAACATTTTCAAATCCTTTTGTTTACAATTCAATTTTACGAAATTTCATCGATTATTCAGGTATTCGGAAATTCTTCAATCAAATATATATTAGAAAATAAAAACTTTAAATAACTTCAAAAAAATTCAATTCAACTTTTACAAAAAAATTAAATCTACACAATTTTAAGTTAAACGTATGAACAATTCAACCATTCAAAGATTTTTAAGACCTGCTTTTAAAAACTCAATTATTATCTAAAGTTTCAACTGAAATTCATATTTCAATTAATTATTATTAGAATATTCTACGACAATTCAATTATTTAAATACAAAAAAAAATAATTTAATGAAGAATTGAATGTTTTTTAAAATTCAACTCTCATTTAAAGAATTTTATCAACAAATTTTTAAATAGGTAATTAAAATTCTTTTGACGAATTTCAATAAAATTTTTAAAAACAATTTCATTTTTCGAGAAATTAGATTAAAAATGAATTAAAAATAATTGAATCTCTGTAAAAAAATTTCATTGAATTGAAAAAGTTTTTGAAAATAATTGAAATTTTGTCAAGAATTTTATTAAAATTTTTTTAAATAATTAAAATATTGCCAAGAATTTTATAAAAATTTTTGAAAATAATTGAATTTTAGAGAAAAATTTTAATATTTATAAAAATAATTGAAATTTTGACTATAACTTTTTTTTAAACTTTTGACCATAATTGAATTTCTGCTAAGAATTTTATTACTTTTGAAAATAATTGAAATTTTGCAAAGAATTTTATTTAATTAAAATGTATTATACCGTAAATAATCTAAACTAAACTAAATTTTTGAAAATAATTGAATTTTTGGCGAAAAATTTTGCTATTTATAAAAATAATTGAATTCTTGACGAGATATTCATTAAAATTTATAAAAATAATTGAACTCGTGCAAAGTATTTTATTAAATTTTGTTTAAATAATTGAAATCTTGCCAAGAAATGAATTAAAATTTTTGAAAATAATTGAATTCTTGAGAAGAATTTTGATATTTATCAAAATAATTGAATTTTGGAAAAGAATTTTATTAAAATTCCTTAGAGTGATTGATTTTATGGTAAGAATTTATGCGATTTTGTTGTTTATCAAGTTAATTGAATTCTTTTGCAAAATTACTTAAACAATTTTTTAAATAATTGATTTTCTGTCACGAATTAAATTTTATTTATGACAACATTTGAATTATTGCAACCAATTTTATTGTTTTATTGAATAATTTAATGTTTCTTAAAATTTAATTCTTTCCACAAGTTTTAATAAAATTTTAAATAATAATTGCATTTTTCGAGAAATTAGATTAAAAATGTATTAAAAATAATTGAATCTCTGTAAAAAAAATTTCATTGAATTGAGAAAAGTTTTTGAAAATAATTGAAATTTTGTCAAGAATTTTATTAAATTTTTTTTAAATAATTGAAATATTGCCAAGAATTTTATAAAAATTTTTGAAAATAATTGAATTTTAGAGAAAAATTTTAATATTTATAAAAATAATTGAAATTTTGACTATAACTTTTTTTTTAACTTTTGACCATAATTGAATTTCTGCTAAGAATTTTATTACTTTTGAAAATAATTGAATTCTTGAGACGAATTTTTTAATAATATTTCTTTTTAAATACCTAATTATTTTTAATACAAAAATAAATAATTTATTGAACAATTGAATGTTTCTCAAAATTGAATTCTCATATATGAGAATTCTTTATAAAGAATTTCTTCAAATGTATAATTTTCTTTATAAATTCTTTATAAAGAATTTTATTAACAAATTTTTAAATAATTGAATTCTTTATGACGAATTTTAATAAAATTTCAAGTATAATTACATTTTTCCAGGAATTTGATTGAAATTGTATCAAAAATAATTGAAATTCTACAATGCGAGTTTTATTATCTATGAAATTAAGAATTGAATCCCTGTAAAAAATTGTATTACATATTTATAAAAATAATTGAATCTCTGTAAAAATATATTGAATATTTGTGAAAATAATAGATTTATTGCGAAGAAATTTATAAAACATGTTTAAAATAATTCATTTCTTTTGGAAAATTTTATTAAAATATTAGATATTGAAAATCATTGAGTGGAGGAGAATTTTTGAAAAAAAATTGAATGTGTTAAAAAGAATTTCATTAAAATTTTTTAAAATAATTGAATTTTGGAGAAAAATTTTAATATTTATAAAGATAATTGAAATTTTGACGATAAATTTTTTAAACTTTTGACCATAAATTGAATTTCTGCGAAGAATTTTACTACTTTTGAAAATAATTGAATTTCTTTGATGAATTTGAATAAAATTTTTAAGAATAATTATACATTTTTCGAGAAATTCCATTAAAATTGTATTAAAAATAAAATTGAAATTTTGCGATGAGTTTTATTATTTATGAAAATAATTGTAAATCTATAAATATTTTTATTATTTATGAAAATAATTGAATTATTGCGAAGAAATATTGTAAAGAAAACTCTTTTAAAATTGAATTAAGAAATTTGAATTAAGAAAATTGAATTAAAAGAAAATTAGATTTCAAGTATAAACACAATAACTTTAGAAAACAATAATTTTCCAGGATTCCAATCAAAATTCCCTGACTTTTCCAGGTTTTTTCAAGGTTTATAAAAATTCCCTGACATTTCCAGGTTTTCAGGTTGCGTGGCAACCCTGTTACTATTATGATAAGTGAGTTATTAATATATCGAGTAGAAGAGAAGCAGTAGTTTCGCCATAGCCTCCCCTAGGAGTATGCACGAGATAGCGCAAAGATTCTATCTGATGCTTCGTAAAGGGTTCCCTGCGCTTCTGTGGAGGACATTAAAAAATGCACGTTGGCATGCGACATAATCAAGATGATTTCTTACCACGTGAATGCCTTCAGCGTCCCTCCTGAGATCCCCGCTCCTTTGGCCCGCGGTAACTGCCGCACTCAAGTGGTTGTAGTGATGTTGATGAAGGGTGTTGAGGGTTTGGGTGTAGGGATCACCGACGAGGTAATCCAGGTGTTGGGGTTGTGCGAGTCCCGGATGCTGGGGACTCGCTGGTGCGTGATGGTGGGACGGGAACGGGGGCGGGAAGTAAGGTGGCTGGAAATCTGAAGCTGTTGGTAAGGAGGCTCCTCCGTGATGGGGCATGCCACCTCCGTTACCATTGCCCCGATGTCCATGGTGATGACCACCGGAATAGGGCGACGAATTTCCACCGCCCAGCGAGGAAATTCCACCATGGCCCGTTAGACGGTCCTGAAAAAAGAAGATCTCATTTTTAAATCCAATTCACATTGACAATTTTTGAAAGATTTAATTGAGAGATGAGATATTATCACCTGACTTGGATCGATTGATAATATCTCATCTCTCAGTTAAACAATGTTAATCAAGTGATAAATTCAACATTATACATAATTTTGAAAGATGTTTCTGAAAACCCAGAAAACGACCTTTGACCTTTCCAAGTTTTCGGAATTTGAGACATTCGGGAAAATGACCGAAAACGACTTTTTTACAATTTGCTACTATTCGAATACTTTTTTAAAATTAATTATTGAGTGTGAAACCTGTACACAACTTATTAAACAGTAATACAATCATGTTGTCTAATTTGTTAAAATGAAAGACTGTTTTAAATGCGATTAGATATATAAATTCACGACGCGACGTTCTTAATAAACTTCTCCCTGTTTTCTCCTCCCTGTGCGTTAGGATCGGTTAGGATAATACATGATATATTATCTCGTTGAAAATTTATACCGCGTATTACTTGTCGAACAAGTATGATTTCTCGACGTTAATCGACTTTAATATTTATTAGATGATATTAATTAACAGGATATGTTGCTGGAGCAATAAGATATAGGCGTAACGAAATACCTTTGGGTTACGAGTATAACTTTAACGGCATCTATTTGAGCATCACGTTAATGAGCTCTTATCTCGTTACGAATGTCATTTTCCAGGTTTTCCTCTTTTTCTCGTCAATAAATCCATTCTTTCAGTGGCGCACAAAACGTCGATTACAGCCGAGCAACTATACGGGATTCGAATTATCTTCATAGTTGTTCCAGACAAACAGGTTCTCTATTCGTTCCTATATTCCTAACATATACAACATACCTATGTCGTTTCCAAGTGAAATTTTCATCATTTTCAGCCTTTCAGGATTTCAATGAAATTTGATAATTTTTTTTTATAATTATTATTTCCCAACAGTTGATAGCTTTTTTTTTATCAATTTTCAGGGAATTTTAAAGTTTCCAAATTCCTAAAAAAAGACTGCAACGGGAAAGTTTAAAAATAGCTTTAATTGAGATGCAAATGATTATTCTTTTTTATTTTATTTTCGAATTTTCGATACTTACAGTTAGTAAACAACAAATTACATTTTTTAAGGTGTCGAATTTTAGAAAATATAAATAATTTTTAATTCTTATCTATTCCAGTCTTATTACCGGGTTATTAACACAGGGTGGCCGCTTTTTTCATTAAAAAAATTTCCCGGTCATGAATTATTTTTCCCGGCTATAAAGAAAAACTGTTAAAAATTATTTTCAAGATTTCAGTTCAATTATTTTCTAGAAATTTTAACTAAAATTCTTTTCTTATTCAATTATTAAAAATAATTAATAACTTTTTTTGCATAAAATTGAATTTTTAAGAAGCCTTTTCAAAAAATATTAAAAATTTTTTGAGAAAGTTTCTTAAAAATTTAATTATTTCAAAAAAGTTAGTTTTTTATAAAATATTTACATTTTTTAAAATCAGTTACATTTTTAAATATATATTTAATTTGAAAATTTGAAATCATTCGAAATTTCATAAAATTGTCTTGTAAACAAGTGGATTTTTAGAAATATTTTAGTTTTAAATGAATTTTTTTTGAAATAATTGAATTTTTAAGAAACTTTCTCAAAAATATATTACAAATTTTTAAGAGTCAGTTTCTCTAAAAATTGAAAAATTTAGTTTATTTTTGAAAAAATAAAAAAATTGATTTTAAGGGACATTGATTTATTCAAATTGACAGAACTTCTAGAAAAATTAGGTGAATTTAATGTTTATATAGTGGATTTTAAAGAATTTTTTGTGTACTTTTCAATTCAAAAATTCTGTTTTCCAAAAAAAATTATTTAATCCCTTTTTTTTAAAAAATAAACCAAATTTTTCAATTTTTAGAGAAACTGCCTCTTTTTATTTTTTTAATCATTTTTAATGCAAAGCTGAGATTTTTTCCAGTAAATTATGTAAAGTTAAAAAATGGGATAACAATGAATTTTCAATAAAATAAATAAAAAGTCATTTTTAGAAAGTTGATTTTTTTTTTCTTGAAAACCAATTGTTGTCCCACTATTAACATACTAGAATTTAAAGCCATTCCCATAATATTGGAATTTTTTCTTAATCGTTTCACGTCGAATTGTTCAGTATAAATTTTCTAAAACTTTAACTATTAGAAACTTTTTGAAATTCAATCAATCTATATTAATAATATTAGTAATATTACTCTAGAAAAACGAATTGATAATAATGCAAAAGATTCTTTAAAAAAAATTGAATTTTATTTATTTTAATGTCTCGTTGTCTTTAAAACTAAAAAATTAATTTCTAGAAATTTCGTATCATTTTTGTTCAAATTAATTCAAATATTCACTAATTCAAATTTAGAGAATAAGTTTTGTGATAAAATTACAAAAAAAAATTTATAAATTAATTTATTTTTTACTATTTTAAATATGTAAAATTTTGTTTATTTAAAAAATATAGCATTTTTAATAACATTTTATATTAATTTTTTTTATTACTTTTTGTAATTTTTGTAACTTTTTATACTTTTAAATTTGAAAAAATGTAGGTAATGTTTGCCTAGAATTTTAGGGAAATTTTTATGAAAATAATTAAATTCTTTTGAGGAATTCAAATAAAATTGTATTGAGAATGATAATAAATTCTTAAAATTGAATTCTTTTGAGAAATTTTATTAAAATTATATTTTGAAAATAATTAAAATCCTATGAAGAATTTTATTTTATGTATGAAAATAATTGAATCTCGTGCGAAGAATTTTATTAAATTTGATTGAAAACAATTAAATTGTTTTAAAGAATATTTTAGGAAAATTTTGTGAAAATAATTAAATTCTTTTAAGGAATTTAATTAAAATTGCATTGAAAATAATTATAAATTCTTATAATTGAATTCTTTTGAGAAATTTTATTAAAATTATATTTTGAAAATAATTAAAATCCTATGAAGAATTTTATTTTATGTATGAAAATAATTGAATCTCGTGCGAAGAATTTTATTAAATTTGATTGAAAACAATTAAATTGTTTTAAAGAATATTTTAGGAAAATTTTGTGAAAATAATTAAATTCTTTTAAGGAATTTAATTAAAATTGCATTGAAAATAATTATAAATTCTTATAATATTGAATTCTTTTGAGAAATTTTTTTCAAATTATATTGAAAATAATTGAAATCCTATGAATTGTTTTAAAGAATTTTATTAAAGTTGAATTTTTTAAAAATTTTTTTTCTCAAATTATTCAAAAATTGAAGATGATTTTTGAAAATAAAAAATTTGGTAAATTTACATAAATTATAATAAATTAAATAACCAGTTTTCCTAGTTATTCATGTATATTATTATTATAAAAATTAAAAGCGCAACTTTTATAAAATTAAATTACTGTTTGGATTTTTAAATAAAATTATTCTAAAAATTATTTAAAATAAATTGAATTTCAAATATGTAAAGTTCAATTATTATTAATATAAATAGAAATAATTCAAAATTAAATTGAATGTGTTCTCTTATGAATTCTAAAAATTGAAAATTTTCCCAGTACTTTTGATAAAATTCTCTGACTTTTCCTTGAATCCTCTTATTTTCATGACTTGTGGTAACCTTGAAAATGTATTTTAAATAATTTTTACAAAATGCAAAAAAAAAAAACGTTTTATATATAAGAACATTCAATATCTATTTTAATGAAATATAATCATTAAGTTTTAAAATAAACATTTTCAGTTTTTCTCACAAAATAATCAGTGTTTTCATTAAAAAAATACACTTTTTAATAAAAAAAAATTAAAAATAAATAGTTAAAAATTTCGTAGATTTGCTCATAGAAAGATGGTGATAAATGTGGAAAATTGTGCGAAAAATGTGGAAAGAAAAGCGTAGATAAATATAAATGTTGGTCCTAATTTAAATATGTGCAAGATACGAAAGATCTCTTGGAGCGTTGCATTGACAAACATCTTTGAAATAATTTGCAGAAAACGAACGTTCTCGGGTGTTATTATGCAAGTAAAAATTAGTATCAGCATTTTATAGTCCACATGAATATCAGAGCTATTCATAAGGTTCTCGGTAGTAAATTCACAGGTTTTTACACGAGGTACATTAAGTTAAGCGAGGGCTTACGTGTATACCTGCACATACACGCCGTGTATACCGTGAATCTTTAAGTATGATTTACAAGATTTCCCGTGAATCGAGCTCCAAAGGTTTTTTGCAATTTTTATCTGCGACGCCAAACGGCTCGGATCACGTGACTCCCACTGTAGGCATATAAATGCATTGGCAATTTAATGTGGGGCTTATAAGTAAGAAATCGGAATGGGCCCATAAAGCAAGTGGATTGTGGTCCGCAAAGAGGAGAGATGACGTAAAAAGGCAATGCTCAAAAGATTCACTCGAGCGGCGTAACCGACGCCTACAAGAATCCGGCAGTGCTGCATGCAAGCGATGCAGGCTTCGAGTTCAGCTTTAGACTTTAATGGGCAAATGGCAAAATGCATAAACTATGCAAATCCGAGAGAATCTGTCGCAGGCACGCTAGTGGACAGAAAATGTGGGTGTGTCGAGAGAGCACAAGAGATAACAGCTCCCAACTCTTTGAGACACAAGGGAGATTGTATCGTTTCAAGATAAAACCGATTGCTATCTTATTGGAGATGATAAACTGCAACAGAAGATTTTTTCTGGCTAAGTGCCATGTATTGGATTCGCGAAACTACACTGCAAAAAATTATACATTTAAACTACAATTTTTTACGAATATGTCCAAAAAAAGAGGAAAATTATAACAACTCCAGTATGGTCACAATTTTTTATTAATTAACGAATAGAAAAACACTTTTAAGACTCTTCTAGAAACTACTTTTAAATTAATTAATTATCAGAATTTCCAGACTTTGCCCTCGATAATAAATTTTAAAAAAGTAGCAATAAGTAGCTT